GTGAGTATATATATATATACTTTATAAATTTTATTTCACCTAAAGTAATTTTGTGCTTTTTTACTTTTGTTTTTTAGCACATTATTGTTATTTACTATAATTAATATACTTTATATTTTATTATATTAATTTTTTTTGATATCAAGTTTAGTCTATTTCTCATTTAAAATTATTATTTTTCTTATTTTCAGTTCAGTTTGTTTCTTATTTTTACTTTAACTTGTTTTGTTATTATAATTCAGCTTGCTTCTGTTAGGTCTGTCCAGTTTTTTTTTTATATAAAGTCCAATATTTTTTTATACAAAAAGAAAAATCTTTGAAAAAAGTGTAATGTTTTTAAATTGTTTTTTTTTTAGAAAACAATTTAAAAACAAAACAATTTAAAAACATTATTTAAAAAAAAAAAAATGTTTTTAAATTGTTTTTTTTTAGATTTTAGTAGTTTATAGAGATAAAATAACTGTTAATTTTAGAAATTTATTTTTAACTTCTTAACTATTCAAAATGTGAGAAGTTTTTCAAAAAGTTTGTGTATAGTACTACATATATAGGACTTCAATAATATATATAATAGTGTATTAAGAATATATATTTAACATTCTAAACTGCAAAAGGTTTGAATTTTAGTCTTTTTTGAATGTTTCTAAAATAGTAGAGTTACTTGTATTTATAGACAAGATGTTCCAATTTTGAGGTGTAGTCATGGAGAAAATTTGAGCCTAGGTTAGTTTTTGATAGGCGACGTAATTTGGCAACTGTCTGACAAGCAGGGTTTAACAGTGTTGTTTATATCCTGGTCTAAGTAGAGTGTTGAATCTTGGGTGACAGCTAGGATTCTTACCTTATTTACTGTAGTTAGTGTTGTTCCAGAGAATGTAATTTTGGAACAATTTTAAAATTTTCCTGTTTGTTTCCAAGAGTTTAAATAAGATAGCTTCTGTTATGCTAGGCTTAAGCAGAAGTCCATTTTTTAGAAACCATTTTGCAACTGCATTAACACATTCAGTTGATGTTATCTTTTTCTGGGTTAATGAAAGTATTTATTAGGGTATCATTTGCCTATTGATAATGATTTGGATCATATTTAGCTATAATACAATATACGGTCAAAAAAACATTTTAATTAAAAATGGACTTATAAGGCTACCTTGTGGTACTCCTGTTAAATCGCAATCTAAATTTTGTTGAGTCAATAGAAACAAAGGATTTATGAGAGTACAAGTATGATATCAGCCATTTTAGTGCAATATCTGTGACACAGAGTTAATCTTTTATATGAGAAATCAGCAGATAGTGGATTGTATCAAACACTGCAGATATGTCTAAAGAGAAGAAAATGGTGGTTAAAGCATTATTACTTTTTTAACAGGATATGAAACATTATGAAAAATTTAGTTTTTATACATCTTTAGTTTCATTTTACAATAAAATCAATGGGTGCCTTTTATATGCTTGATATTTAAGTTATTATTTTATTATTATTTTCTGTTGTTAATTAAAAACATTCTTTGTCAATTTTTTTTTTTTTTGTTCAACTTTTTTATTAAACTTTTTTATTAAATCTGTCAGGGTTCACCCAAATTATTTTGCTATATATATATATATATATATATATATATATATATATATATATATATATATATATATATATATATATATATATATATATATATATATATATATATATATATTATATATATATATATATATATATATATATATATATATATATATATATATATATACATATATATATATATATATCTTTTCAAAAAAGTTCACCCTGCCATTGAAAAATTGGTTTTGACATAAGTACGACTATGTATTCAAATGTATTTAGAATGTCATAGTCATGTAATACCATAAATATTCTTAATCTAACATAGACTCAGATTGTTGACCTTGCTCTTGCTTGTTGCACAGAAGGAATCAAAAGTACAATTTGTCTTTATTTTTGCATGATGAATAAATTTCCTCCATTACTTTGATTGCAGGCTCAGTGCATTGATTACTTCTGGGTATCTGTAATATAGGTGGCTCTCACTTCCAATGATTTCTCAGGTCTTAAAGCCTTTTTGTATGGATACAGAATTTGAGCCAAGTTATTAAATTCGTTTTCGTTGTACAGTTGGTCTGTAAACCAATGGTCTGCCCAGCCATACAATATAAATCGACTGCAGAACTATCCTTGTTGAAGGAATTAAAATTAAGGCCAGGATCACTAGTATAGCTCTAGCGTTGCAGCTCACATTGCTGATGTTGGGTATTTTCTGAAACCTGATCAATGGAAAGTTTCCCTTTTCCTCAAAAAATTGGAACACTCAAGTGAGATAAAACAAAAGTTTCATATCATCTTTCCAGCCTGATGTTTCGAGAAGACTTAAAAAATTCTTTAAGCAATAGTTAAAGCCCTACCATCTACCAAGCCAAGGACATCCAATTTGATTTCTCTTCTTTTATTTTTAATGATGACCTTAATAATCTATTCTGTTGATGTGCTTGGCATCACAGTGTAAGGATCAACTTTCCATATGCAAGTTGGGATGTTAATACCTTCACAAGCCAATTGCTTGCATATGTTAGCAGCTTTGTTTGTTGATACTCTTTTGGAGGTCATCAAGTTGACTGCAATTTTGTTTTTATAATGTTTTCTGCTTGGTGTAAGAGTTGTCTCATCTTTTTCTTCATTGTTTTCATATTCACTGTTGTTAGCCTCAGTGTCAGAATCATTTAAACCAGGATAGTAAGATGATGAGTTGGATGACTTATTAGAAAGTTTTTGTCTTTTAGAGGGGTGGATCGTTTCTTTACTGGCCGCTTGACCAGTAAAGTAGTTCACTGTTCTTTTGCTTTCCACTTGGAGATAGTACAATCACATGTCCTCGGAAGATAACCATGTTCCATCCACTTTAGTAATATCAAAAATTTCATCAAAGGGTTCATAGCTTCCCTGCTTGACACATTCATCATAACATTTCAGTATTTTATCAAGCTTTGCTCATATAACTTGATCAGATACATGAGGAAAGTTCAGTTTATTCTTTCACAATATGGTGACTTCTTTGAAAATTTCCGCTATTCGCTCCTTCCTTCCTTTGATTTTTGGTCCGAAGAAACGGTAGCGACCGATAATTTTCTTTTGGAGAAGCATTATGCACTTTTCTTCCAGTGAATATTTTTCCAAAGGGACCATTCTTCTTTTATGAGAGTCTTTAAATTTTTCCAGACATCCTTGTTCTTCTCTTTAAATTGGTCCAGACATCCTTATTCTTCTGAATGCTATAATTGCTAGGCTTGTACAACGCCATGCGTTGCTTCTGTAATAACTATAAAATTAGATGAGCAGCTATATATAGTCTTAAATGTTCCAGAATATTCCAGAATGTTCTAAATTGTTCTAGAATGTTCTAAAGTCTTCTAAAATATTCTATTGTTTTCCAAAATGTTCTAAATGTCTAAACACTTCTAATTTATACAAGTTTTAAATGATTTGCAGGAATGCCACACATATTAGTGGTAGCAGTAACAAGATTAAATGACAAAAGGTAGTTTTAATTGTTTGGTGACCTTTTTTTTTATAACCGAGAGGAATTGAACATGTTTTCAAAGTTTTCTAATAAAAGTTCATTGGTTTATGACACAGGAAATAATTTTTTTTTAAAAAGTCAATAAGTCATTACCTTATATATATATATATATATATATATATATATATATATATATATATATATATATATATATATATATATATATATATATATATATATATATATATATATATATATATATATATATATATATATATATATAGGCCTTGGCACGGAGTGGAAGCGATCGCTCCAGTAACGTGAAACACGCTTGTTAATGGAATATTTATAAATTGCGGGAGCAATAAAAAACGCTTGCTAATTTAGTTACGAGAGTTAAAAATCACATTTGTGCTAAAAATTTGGAGAAAACTAATCATGCTTTACTTGATTTTATATTAAATTATTTTTATATAAAGTTTTTTTGTTAAAGATTCTTGTTTAATTTAACAAAAAAGATTGGTTATTGTTAAAAAAAAAAAATCTCTATTCACATATCTTTAATTACGTTTTTTCAATTGAGGTAAATTGTTAAAGTTATACTTCAATTAAAAAACTCAATTTTTTACGTTGAGTACTGTCATTCTGTTGAAATTTGATCGCAAATTTCTACGAACAATGAATGGTGATTTGTAAATGAGACTTTTTTAATATAAAATGTTTACTGCAAACATTTAACGAAATTAAATAAATTTTATTTATTTGTATAAGTTTATTAATAATATTAAATTGTGTAGCAAATACAAATTAACAATAAGAAACGTTGTTAATTTAATTTTGTAAAAGCATTTGCTAAAAACTATATGTATAATTATAAAAATTTTTTATTTAATTTCGAAAAAAATATTTCTTAAAGTGTTGTGTTTTGAATGGAATAGTTTGCTTATTGTTAAAAACAAAATAATCACTATTCATATATTTTTAATTGTGTTTTGGCAGTCAAAGTAAAACATTTAAAGAACTCGTTTTCTAAATGTTAACCTAAAATGTTTTTGGCCAAAATTTAACTAAATTTAAAAAGCTTTTGTTATTAAAATTATAACTCATATTATTTATAACTTAATTAAAGTTATAAATTTATTTGAGAGGAAATTTTAAGAAAAGTTTAAGTATGTGAAAACATTTGCTAAAAAAGTTATAAAAGTTCTGTTAGCGTTAGCAACCAAAAAACATTAAAAAACATTATATTATATGTTTTAACAAAAAGAAATCATTATTTCATTGTTTTAATGTTTTAATGACGCAAAAACTTTATGAGTTTATATTTTAATTAAACGAATGAAACAATGAAAAAAATGAAAGCTTATGAACTTCTTTCAAATAAATTCAATGTAATACTAAAAATTGACTGTAGTATCAAGTTATAGATAAAAACAATAATAAAGAAAATACATAAAAGATAAATTTATTCTT